GCAGGATCCAAAGGCTCGTCCTGCGCCATGCCTGCTTGCGATGGCAAGGTTATGAAGGATGAAGAGGAAATGACATAACTCCTTGCGAATGCAGGTATATAATCAAGAAGAAAAAATGACAAATGTCCAAAGTAGCAGCGTATGCATGGATCATTGCGTGCGGTACATAATTAAAATTACACATGTTTGTTGCTTTCAGGTTCAAGATTTGTAGGGATTGCTACATGGACGCCCACAAAGAAAGAGGTTTATGTCCAGGGTGCAAGGAGCCGTACAAAGTTGGGGATTATGAAGATGAGGTACCAGATTTTTCCGGTGGAGCTTTGTCGCTGCCTGCCCCGGATGACCCCAAAGCAGATCGCCGCATGTCCATGATGAAGAGAAATCAAACGGAGAGTTCGATCACAATAAGTGGCTTTTGAGACCCAGGGCACGTATGGTTACGGAAATGCGTATTGGCCTCAAGAAGATGGATATGGTGATGACCATGGCGATGGAATGCAAAGAGGTATGTTGGATCCGTCCGACAAACCTTGGAGGCCTCTGAGCCGGAGGTTGCCAATTCCGCAAGGCATTATTAGCCCATACAGGTTGGTTGGGTGTCATTTGCAGCATTGAGCTTACGTACAATAATTAACATTACGGACTTTATATGATATGATATGATGTTCCGAGTATATATTCCTATTATTATTATTATTATTTTCGTATTACGCAATCAGTCATATTTAAGTTTCTAGTGTAACTTCAACCATCATAATCTCAGAATGTTTTCTTTAAAAAGTAATATTGCATGGAGGCCAGACCGCTAACTGTGTAAACCACCGCACAGTTGGTACAAACATATATTCTCTGATTTGATTCAAGTCAGTAATGGAGAAATTTTAAAAAGATCATCATTAATTTTGACCACCTGATCAGGCTGCTGATTGCGGTTCGGCTAGTGATTTTGGCCTTTTTCCTAACCTGGAGGTTGAGACATCCAAACGACGAGGCCATCTGGTTGTGGGCGATGTCCGTCACGTGCGAGGTCTGGTTTGCCTTCTCCTGGATTTTGGATCAACTTCCCAAGCTGTGTCCTGTCAACCGCTCTACAGACCTGGAGGTTTTACGCGATAAATTCGATCTGCCGTCGCCCTCCAATCCTACCGGTCGCTCTGACTTGCCCGGAGTGGACTTATTTGTCTCCACGGCCGATCCAGAGAAAGAGCCGCCCCTCGTCACCGCCAACACCATATTATCTATCCTGGCTGCTGATTACCCTGTGGAGAAAGTTGCCTGTTATGTTTCAGATGATGGCGGTGCTCTCCTCACATTTGAGGCAATGGCCGAGGCTGCCAGCTTTGCCGATTTATGGGTTCCATTTTGTAAGAAACACGACATTGAGCCTAGGAACCAGAAACCTATTTCAGCTTGAAGGGTGACCCAACCAAGAACAAGAAGAGATCCGATTTTGTCAAGGACCGGAGAAGGGTTAAGAGGGAATATGATGAATTGAAGGTAAGGATCAATGGATTGCCCGATTCCATAAGGAGAAGATCCGATGCCTTCAATGCACAGAGAGGAAATGAAGATGCTAAAGCACTTGAGAGAGGGTGGGGCGGATCCCCTAGAGCCTGTTAAGCTCCAAAAGGCCACTTGGATGGCTGATGGCACCCATTGGCCTGGTACTTGGGCTGTTCCTAGTAGCGATCATGCTAAAGGTGATCATGCAGGAATCCTGCAGGTAACTTCCTATGTCAAATTTCTCTAGTATGTAACCGATTAATGTGCTAAATCCCACTAATCAAACAGTATATGGCCTTGCCCCAAGTAATCAAACAGTATGGCGGTTGCAGGTAATGCTGAAGCCTCCCAGTAGTGATCCGCTGATGGGAGACTCTGAAGGCAAAATCCTAGATTTTTCAGACGTGGACATCCGGTTACCCATGTTTGTGTATGTCTCCCGAGAGAAGCGACCGGGGTATGATCATAACAAGAAAGCTGGAGCCATGAATGCTTTGGTTCGAGCATCAGCCATACTCTCTAATGGACCATTCATTCTCAACCTAGATTGCGACCACTATTTCCATAATTGCAAGGCTATTCGGGAGGGATGTGCTTCATGATGGATAGGGGAGGTGAAGACATCTGCTATATACAATTTCCTCAAAGATTTGAAGGAATTGATCCATCTGATCGTTATGCAAATCACAACACAGTATTTTTTGATGGTAATATGCGTGCACTCGATGGCCTACAGGTGGTTATTCTCTCCTACATCCGTTCTGTCATATCGTTTCATTTATGTTTTTTTTTTTTTTTTTTAAATATAAATAAAACATGCAGTGGTTAGCATTTATAGAGAATCCCAAAGATTTGTGTACTGCAAATGATGATCCCTATCCCATTGTCACCAATTACACATGTCCCATGCATTTAGGGACCTGTTTATGTGGGCACCGGTTGCATGTTTAGGCGGTTCGCACTCTATGGTTTTGATCCCCCTCAACAATTTAGCACGATGAGGCAAAAGGGTAGTGAGACCCAAGCCCTGAAGGCCACTGACTTCGATCCTGATCTTGACGTCAATTTGTTGCCCAAACGTTTTGGAAATTCAACAATGCTTGCTGAATCTATACCTGTTGCTGAATTCCAAGGCCGCCCGATTGCTGATCATCCTGCTGTCAAGTTCGGAAGACCACCTGGTGCTCTCAGAGTTCCCCGTGAACCACTTGATGCTGCTACTGTGGCTGAAGCTGTATCTGTAATTTCCTGTTGGTAAGTTTTCTTCAATATAGATCAATACTGCTGAATACATGCGCGGCTATCCTAAATTGGTTTCTCAAGTTAGCAAAACTAAAACGAATCAATATAGATGGCATCAAATATAATAGTAGTGCTAGTGACATTCAATATCCAAATCTGAAGGAACGCAAATGGCAACCATATTTCAGTGTGCTGTGTCCAATTAGTAGACATGCATAGAACAATAAAAAAAACAATGCGAAATTGAGAATTCAAACATGATGATAGGTTATATGATATCCTCTTGCGACACACTCCAGTTGTGTCTTACCCTCCTCTTATTCGTTCTCTAGGTATGAAGATAAGACAGAGTGGGGTGATCGGTTGGTTGGATTTATGGCTCAGTCACAGAGGATGTGGTCACAGGCTACCGCATGCACAACCGCGGTTGGCGCTCCGTGTACTGCATCACCAAGCGTGATGCGTTCCGCGGATCGGCTCCAATTAATCTTACAGATAGGCTCCATCAGGTCCTCCGCTGGGCTACAGGCTCAGTGGAGATTTTCTTTTCTAGGAACAATGCCTTCCTGGCTTCCCGTCGCTTGAAGTTACTCCAGCGCCTAGCTTATCTCAATGTCGGCATCTATCCTTTCACCTCTCTGTTCCTTATTGTCTACTGTTTCCTTCCTGCCCTCTCACTCCTTTCCGGCCACTTCATCGTGAAAAACTTAAACGTGGTTTTCTTGGTCTATTTGCTGATTATAACCATATGCCTGATCTCATTGGCAATCTTGGAAGTAAAATGGTCTGGAATAGGATTAGAGGATTGGTGGAGAAACGAGCAGTTCTGGCTCATCGGTGGAACCAGTGCCCACTTGGCTGCAGTGGTGCAAGGTCTCCTCAAAGTGATTGCAGGGATCGAGATATCTTTCACACTTACTTCCAAGTCTGCTGGAGAGGACAATGATGATATCTATGCAGATTTGTACTTGGTGAAATGGACTTCTTTGATGATTCCACCTATTGTGATCGGGATGGTGAACATAATAGCAATGGTAGTGGCATTTTCAAGGACAATTTATAGCGCAGAACCCCAGTGGAGCAAGTTCATTGGCGGAGCCTTCTTCAGCTTTTGGGTTCTAGCTCACTTGTATCCTTTTGCAAAAGGCTTGATGGGAAGGAGAAGGAAGACACCCACAATTGTGTTTGTGTGGTCGGGACTTATTGCCATCACGCTCTCACTACTATGGATTGCCATTAATCCACCTAAGGCTAGCACAAATTCAGGGGGAGGAGGAGGAGGAGGAGGTTTTCAATTTCCATGAAAAGCACGTACTGGTACATGCACCAAAAACCTTGTACCACTACAGGTCACCGCTACTTCTAATTTGATTTATACAAAAGCTGCGAGATTCTTGCGCTTGAAATATAACATCGATCGCCCCCATTCCCAAAATCCGGGATTTATTGGATGGCATCCGGGAAGTAATTCATACGACAGATGTAAACCGTACCCCAACTGCTGCAAAAGTAAAGCCGTCAAGGGACGGCTCAGTAGGATTAGAAATTATATCGTGGAGTGATTAAAGTCCAACGTCCTTTTCCTTCCCCGCTAACCACCCCACTTCTCAGTTCTCCTCCACCTCCAGCCCCAACAAACCCCTCTCTCTCTTTTTTTTTTTTCCTTTTTTCCGTATTTCGATCTTTTGATAGAGAATACTTACTATAAAACTGACAAATATACAATTTAGCATCTTCGTTAGGTAACTGTACTCTGCTGTAAGCGTTGCCTGGCGCTCCCGGCATGCTTTGTGCTGCAAGGAAGCAAGTCCTTGGCTATAGTTGCAACTGAAAACTCGAAATTAATGGAGTACTTGCAAAAATTGAGCATAGCAAGTATCATATCATACCATATCAAGTACTTCTTTCCTCAGTAATTGTATCAGTCATACTTCCCATCGAACTAGTAGAAATATATTTTGCAAACAAGGGGACCATGCACTAGACCTTCAAACCAAGGGAGTTAATTTAAAGAACATAAATTCAGATAGAAATACTCAAATCTTCGAAGAAAAATGATAGCAAGCATGTATGTTTGGCAACGAAAATGTACAGGTCCAACTAAAGGAAACACATGAACCGGACAGCAAAGAGAAGGGTCGGAAAAGTGAATCATACTGAACCTACAGTAAGTAGATAGCATCTACACAAACGATAATTCAGCCGCAAAGCTTACGTTAAACAGCAGCAAGTGTTTTCTTTTTTCTTAAGACAAAAAAAAAAAAAAAAAAAAAAAAAAACTTTAAGCTTCATTGTGAGCTTGCAGTACAAAGTCAAACTTTCATTGCAAATTTGACATCCGTAGCTCCATTTCCCCCAACAATCTCTCCTTCTCTCTGTGTCTTCAGATAACCAGACAGAGCAAATGGAGCTCAATGTACCTTTTCCAAATTCTAGGTGTCTGACTGCTCAAATGGTACTCGCACAAACAACTGGCCATGTAAGGTAACCACAGCAGATGTCTGATGAGGATCTATCCTGGATGGTAAGCTGACTACCTGGTAAAGGAACAACTTTATCTGTCACATTATTCCATGCATCAAGCACACATAACAAAAGCAAAATTTTATTCTGTAGACATGCTGCTACTAGCCAGTGAAATGTCCTATCAGCAGATAAACATTGACACACTGGCTCACTCATCAGTTCCCTGCTACCCGAACGCACATTAGAGAGAGAAGGGTAATTTGGTCTCACCAGATTTTGCAGAAACACCCAACTATACATGCACTGTTATCAAATGAATTCAACCCGTGCACTATTTATACAGCAATAATGAGGTTTAATCTTACGAATAATCATGAAACACACGTAAATAACCTTTTTGAATGGAGTGACTCCCCAAGGATTATCCAGCTGTTCTGGCTGACCAGATATAACTAAGCGGCCTGCAGGATCAGATTGCACCCGCACCTGATTTTAATCAAGAATAAGCCCATCTAATACAGTGCAAGCTCAAAAAGGTAACTGAAGCACTATGAATTGCAAACCATCAAACAGGTAGGTAGTTCATAATCAGCCTCAAATTTTGAACCCCCTGAAGACGCGATAATCGTCAGCTACAACTGCCTCAATAAAAATATAAAACCACCGGAATGGATAGTTTTCCAGGCTACAGTACAAGGGCGAAAAGGTTTTCATATGAGAGCAAAACTAAAATGATCAAAAGATTGTTTGTTGGACTCTATATACTACATATGAAATTTAGAGATGAGAGTTTCATTTAAGGCTGGCTGCACTCATGAAAGATGTGAAAAATAATAGGCAACCAGCACAGCATGAGAAAAAAATTGAGCAAGTAAATATTCCTATATCAACTCAGATAACTGCTAATTTTATTACTATTTTGTGGGCCAACATTAAGTTTGTAAATCTTGTCAACGTCAGATGTCATGCACTACACTTCTGAGACAATAAAAAAAATCACTTTCGCAGAACACAATGCTTCTAAGTAAGTGAATTCTAATAACTAGTATTTAGCAGAAGATCCACAAAAGTGAGCATAGCAGTATGCAAATAAGCAACAGAAACACACTCTCAAGAAGCCAAGAAAAGGAGTTTTAACCCAGTCACAAAAGGAAAACATCTCATACTACTCTTTCATGCTCAATATTTTCTCTTTCATCAACTGACCAGCCATTCTAGATGACATTTCAAATACAGGCCCCTGACCGGGAAGTCATACTTTCTGGAACACAAATGGCAAAAAGTAGCAATAGATTTTCCTACAGAGAGAGACGGCACATGTTTCTTCAATTACCTCTTCGCGCAAAAGCCCAGGAACTAAAGCATATACTTCAAAGCAGTCTTTCTGTACAATCAATGTTACAAAAAAGTTAAATTTTCATGCATGAGATACTCCAGAATACCTGATATAAGAGGCCAAACAAGAGTTTCAAGAAAAAACTTACTGTTCTCTGTACATTAATCTTCACCCAGTCGGCCGGGTTACCAATATCTACCACCATTGTATCCAGTCTAATGCCCCCAAAAAAAAAAAAAAAAAAAAACATAAATCTCGAGCTGAAGGAATGTAACTTGATCTGTTGATCACAAGCTAAAGTGCTATTTCACTACGGACAAATATCAACTACCGATATCCAGTCTATGCCCAATACAACAGAACATGTAAACCTTAACCGGGATAAGAAATTAACTTGAAAAGTTCAAATTTTTGCTTAAAAAGAACTGATTAAGATAAGAAAGACACTTCTCAGAATAAATCATTACTGCACAAAGAGGCCTAATTGTTTCTAGCAAAAGTGGGCAAAACTTTCTATGTATTACTCCAGTTCTTCTTCCTTTGAAATCTTTAAAATGATTTACATCAAGGTCAGTCACAAGGTTTTCAGAAATAGTCGTGTCGGAAAATAATTGTTCAACAGAACTTGAAGCATCTAAGAAGTAAGGTGTTATTTTCACAGGATCTCAAATTACAGATTTTTTAAATGATAAGCACTTAGATTTCAGACAAATGAAAACTGAGTTTTTAAGTTCCTCCCACGATAAGATTTGCTGCAGAGTTTCCAGAATAATCCCATATTACAAGAGAGGCAAAGATAACCATTGGAAACAAAAATACTTGTTATGTTTGGATAGGAGATTGTTTAGAAAAGAATTTGGAATAACAGTGTAGGACCTATGAATTAGCCAACATTTTCACAAATTTTACAGAAACAGAAGCTCTTGTTTTCATATTCATTCCTTCTCTTAAATCTGCATCTACTCCCACAACCTTTTCTCCAAAATGTAAGTGAGAAAGACTGACAGACACAGGCAATAAGCCAAGATGCTAGACTACTCATTCAGATTGGCCTTTTCTTTCTCTCTCCAACTCATATTACATGACTAAAAAAAACACCATTATAGTTAATAACAAGATAATATTCACTTTTAACAGGTAATCACTAGTGACCAAGAAAATACACAAAAAATCAGATTACAGATTATCTACTAACTTTAACACCTCAGTTCTTCATCAAATGAATTGAACACTGCTAAAAAGCAAAGGATGCAGTTTGTCGCTTGTATCTTTAGTGAGGGTAAAATAAGCAAGACTGAGTCTATGGACTTTCTTCAATACCTTTCTGTCACCACCACCAAAGCAGATACAACATAAGATCTTTGAAATTACCAAAATACCAGTATGTCTCTATTTAAAAAATGGGGAAGTAACTAGTACTTTGCCAACTAAAGAAAAGAAACCATAGAACAAGATAAAGAATAACTCTCTCTGAAATGTTAACATCTTCCAACTCCAATTCTAATTCTTCTCCTATAATAATGCATCCCACTCCTTTTCGGACATGAAGTCACCTCGTCTGTTCACTGGTAACTGGCCTTACTCCAGAAGAAGGAAGAAAAACTATCATTTAACAGCATTACACGATATAACAAGTACGCTTCTCTAGTCACCAAAAAAAAAAGAGCACATGGATCCAGAGCTCTTAACTGTGGTTTCGATACTTTCATGCTTGCACCATGGAGAGGATGATCAACAGGAGACGCCTTTTTACGTTTTAGCAGACCTTCATTAGAGAAGCAAATGAAAATTAAAACAACCAGAGCAAAGAATTCAACATTACTGACTAGAAAGGAAACTAACACTTCAGTTATATTCTTACCAACGCTTTTCAGCTGCTTTTCACGCTTTGGTGTTGAAACCAAATTTTTGTCCTACAAATCACAGACCCAGCATAAAGGAAAAAGCACAATGAACAAACAACCATACACTACAAGAAACAAGTGTATATGTATTTTATGGCACAAAAGTTTACCCTTACACTCACCTTGATAATCGGATCTCCAACCTCTCCATTGCCAAGGAGACGCTGACTGTGCCAACCCTGCATAGCACGAGCTGCAGCATCCCTTCTTGCTCTTCCTGATCCTGATGATTGACTGGTACCTGCCTGCAAATGAAAATTTCCTTAGTTATGAACGTATGCATTGTGAAGAGATTGGTTTGGTGAGGACATAGTTGGCAGAACACAAAACAGAATGAGGAAGCTAAAGTTAGAGCCATTTAAGAAGATGACACCAGCAATTACTGGCGTAAAAAAGGTTAAAGGCGTTAGTTTCGGCTATAAAGGATGGATATGGAAGTCAAAACAATATTTCAACAAATTCAAATCCGTGACTTGCAAATGTCAATCTTCCAGCTTTGTTCTTCTAACTTTACAATAGCAATTCTTGATCTGATTAACTTCTACCACTAACAAGATTGTACATGTCAACTACCTGATTGCCAGCGCCGGATGGTTCTACAAAGGAAGCATCAGTAAAAGGAAGTTCACCACAGCGCATTTTGTGCTTTTCATACTCCAGTAGTGCCTGCAGTAGCAACAAATAACAATTTCAAAATGAAACAGAAACAAGTAAACATATGAAAGAAATATTGTAAGAAAAGTAAGGATGTGTTAATTCATGGAAAGGGTAAGGGATGTCAGTATGGGCATTTGATTTAGGCAAAAGAGAAACCCAGCAATTAGGTTAACCATAAAGTTCATTTCAAGTGTTTGGATGTATTTTTTTTGGCATGTATGGGAATTAGGCCCATGTATGATGAGCACAGATGCTCATGGTCCATTACCATATCAAACCAGCAATTACTGTTTTCATTTGACACTTTTTGCTATCCCACTGTAAGTCCTCTTTACGAGATTTTGGAAACTTAAAATCAACAGCTTCCATCCTTTTTGCCTTTCTTTCAAACTTATCTATTTGCTTCTAATGCAAGTTGTTACTATAAGATACACGCGAGATGAGACATGGCATTCAGATACACACTAGATGAGGGTATTTTATTTGACCATTTTTCAGCTCTCATTACCTGTTTGTCCTCATCCAAAAATTCAGATAACTGGGATTGGAATAGGATATCCAATCTTCAATTCCCATTACCATAAACTAAAGGCATTATATATGTACAGTAAAAGTAACATCAAACAAGAATGAAAAACTAAATGAAACATGAAAAAGAAAGAAAGTGTACATTAAAATAAAAAACTAAACGAAGCCAGAAATATGACTATTCCACACTTTAGCTATTTTCCCGGAGTAAAGCTTCCATCCCCATCCTTGTGGATTCCTAGCTGGCCTTCATGTCAAGACCATACTAGTTAATGAACACATATGCTAATTTAAGGGTTTATGGATTCTTAGCTGGCCTTCATGTCAAGACTATATTAGTTACTGGACGCATATGCTAATTTAATGGTGAGAAAAATAATCGGTCAAAAAAGCATGACTTGGCCAGTGAAGAACATACTCCATATTTTGGAGCTTATATTGCACAAGAAGAAGGATGAGTTAAATTTAGGATACTGCTCCTCTTCCATATACAGGCTTTCAGAGAACAAGAGAAATAACAAAGAATTAAAAGCAAGGAGATGAAGTAATCAACAACAACTATCCAAAATATCCTTTGCATTTTGGAGCCATAGAGCTAGTCCCTGCTTGGCTGTTCTACAAAATTCTTGTAGTCCTGACAATTCTTCGGTACCAGCTTACCTATCAGGCGGCAAATTGTTAACTACACTAGATACCTAAAAAATCTTATAACGTCAAGAATAAATGAAAAATCAGTCAACTAATCTTTACCTTCTCATAGAAACCTCGAAATGTCCAGGAAACTGTCGTACAGGTCCTGCACAATTATAAAAGAAAATGCTGGATTCTCTTACCAAAACAACCACAAAAAAATGAACATAACAAAAACACATCATGAGGGAAAAATTATATAAGTCATGCAAAGAGACCATCATTGAGAAACCTATATCTATTTCATATACTGCGTAATCAAATTATATATCGCAAAGGTATAAATACAATCCTCAGTATAAGTTTCTCAACCTATTAAAGAAATGCTCAATTCTGGTGTAACAAAATATCTAACACACAATAAAAAACCAGGAGAAATAACCACAAACTCTGCCACCCATGCTGCAATTTTCAGAGGTCTATTTGTCATCCCTTTTTTTTGTTTTACACCCTCCAGAAAAAATTATAATTGGCTGAATCTGCAATCTCTGACAAGAAAGTGGGATTCAATTTCAAGTATACTGAAAGCTATCCATAAAAGCCTATATCACCCCTTTTCAATTTTTTTTAATTTACAATAACCTTCTTTCAAGTGAACTTGCACTATAAAATATTACCATTTATCCACTATAATGATCTGTAAAGACAAAATCTGAAACTACCCCGTTGTGACACAGACAGATTTATTCCACACTGGAAAAGTTGGAATGGTTTGAGTGATTCATAAGACTTATTTGCTTGCGACTAAGTACTGGCTTCAGGATTCTTAGTCAGACATTAAACTTGTCACAGCATCTATCAAATGCAGACCAAGTTAAGATCAGCAAGCCTAACAAGTACAAATGAAACTTGAATGGTAATAACAAGTGGAGTTGGAAGATAGGAAGGAAAAGAGCATATGCTTGAACAAGTAGAGGCAATATTAAATGGAAATAACAAAAATTGAATGTTGATGCAAATGATGATCTGAATTCAGAACACAAGGAGGAACAAATACTTTGAAGATAAGGCTTGTTACAGAGAAAATAAAGGAGAGG